TGACACGAGTAAATTACGAAACTTGATTCGAGTCAACCAAATTGAGTAAAAGCGGTACTATTTATTGATACTCAAATGGGATTGTGAATATTGGGTGCCAGGCTCAGGGACGAGCACTACAAAGAACGCTGCCCAAAAGCTACAGCGAAGAAGTCATTTATGAAATCGAATTTTTTGCAACATAGGTGCACTACCCTACAACTTTTTGTGATAATTTATTAGACTTTTAAACATATGTTTTTACTATGGTTATTGTTGGAAATAATTAATTGATTGGGGATACATGATACATTACGAGAGTCGTTTAAATAATGATATCTATGAGGTGATATAAGCTTGTAATACATGTAGCCTATGTGGCGCAAGAATTTGCACAACTAAAAATAGCCTGTGTGGCAGTTGTTGCTTACAAGACGATTAGTTTGTGTGCGTGTTGGGTATTCATTGTGAGTAATAATTTAATCATGTGGAAGTAAATATATGTGTTGTATATTTTGTCGATGTGATATATACAGGTTATGTCTAGGTGATGTAAACGAATGTGCATGAGGGGAAGTGTAATTTGAGAGTAAGTATATAATTCGTGGTTAAGGTTGTTTCTAAATAAATAAAATTTCCTTTATTACTTGTTGTGATCTTAAATATTAATTGCATCTTTGCTTTTACTAATGGTTTAAGTGACTTTTCAGGAAAAACCATAACGACGTGAGGAGTCTACTGCCGAGTCTAGAGGATCGATTGGGATGTCATCATGGAGTTCATTTTTATATGTCCTTTAAATTTAAATTGTATTATTCTATGTCATATTCTTGAGATCAATATTACAGTATGTAAACAAGCAGTGCTTGTGGCAAGCCGTACCACTTAGGGGTTTGATGTATTTTTTTTTATATGCTTATTTTTACATGGTATATGACAAAAACATAAAAAGGTATTACAGATATTATACGCCGGGTTGGGGTGTTACATTGATGATCGAGCATAATATTTTGTGATCAATTATGCTTTTTGCAATTGTTACTCACCAAAAAAAATTATAATTAACTTGATCTTAAACAATTATAATTTTGAAATGGACAATGCAGTTTTCTTCCTTTCATAATGTTGTTAATGTATTTCTTGTCATAATGTTGCAGTCATTGGATCTAAATGCCCACCAGTTTCTTTTTTTATTGTATTTATTTTCTTAATAAATCATCCACTATTAGTGAGCGAAAGATTTATTTATATAAAATAAATACCACTTGAATTTTGAGTGGAGAATCCACTAATTAAAAAAATGGAAATACATTGTATTGTAGGGTATCAAACTTTGACAATCATTTAAGGTTATCCGACTTTCATCCACAGGTTGGGATATGGTCTAGAAATCCCAACTCAATTTAATTTTGAGCAATATTTCAGTTGGGGGTCTCAAATTCTCGGGACTAGTGAATTTAGTTCATCATGAGTTGAACATTTATTGTAACTCTAGTTGTAGAATCAAAGAATTAAATTTGAGTTCAACCCGAATTGCATATTCCGACCTGGACTAAGTATGTACGGGGCTTGTGTCCATCACCTCACAAGACATTATCTTCTCTCTGAAGGTAGTTGTACTGTTGGGGGTGATTGCACCCAACAGTTCAAAAGAAAATGTCTTGATAATAAACAAGGGGGATGCAATTCCGCTGCCACTGGGAGGCGTCTCATGGTGGTTCAATGGTGGAGACTCGGTCGTGGTCATTGTCTTCTTGGGTGACACTACCAAGGCTTATACACCTAGCCAATTCACCTATTTCTTCTTGGCGGGAACCCCAGGTATCCTGCGGGGTATATCAACTGAATTTGTCAGCAGAGCTTATAACATCAATGAAGAAGAAGCTCACTTGCTCGTGAACAATCAAACCGGTGCTCTGATTGTTAAATTTGAAGAAGGTACCATTTGATAAAGTTTATCTAAGTATTTTAGTTACTTGTTTTAATAGTGTTTATTTTCCTATTTAATTATTTATTTTCATTGTATATGATGATACCAAAAAATAGAAAAAAGACAGTAAGATTCTAGAAAACAACAAGTAATAAAGAAACTACCAAAAGGGGCATAAAAGGATTTTCACCATCAAATCATACCTTAAGCAATAACTCACACAAAATATTCTCTAAATATTCCCTAAATATTCTTTCAATATTTTTGTTATAAAAGGCAATGATAATTATATAGAAAGGGGGTCTGAAGCAAGAAAAAAAATCATATTGTACTTTTTTTTTTCAAGAAAACAATATACAATCGAGGAGCAAGAGCTTTCATTACAGTAGATTAGTCAAGCTTTTCAGCTGGTGAACCACTTATTTTCTCATGTATTCTCATTTATTTTTACACACACGACACTCCCACCAAGAGCTCATCCAACTCTCCACTTCATGCCTCTCGATTTTTTACCACTATCAATTTGACATCGTTTGTGAGAATGATTTTCATCGTTCTAAATCAAATATCTAACGATTGACTGATACTTCAAGATAGAATCATGAGCCAAAATCTCGATAATCAACCAAGTGGTCTTGTACCCACAACACCCTTTGACTAGTCAGCCTTCGATTGGATGCTAGATCAAATTATATTTTCAATTCTTTTGGTGATCTCACCAAATTATTATTTATTCTTTGATAGTATTTATTCCAAGTCATTCCTTTGGCATATTTATTTTTTAGCCTCCAAATCCATCATGCTCACCTTAAGACCGAGTATGCTCTCTGTTTTTGCCAGTTAAGGACTTTGTTGTGCTCCAAGCAACTTCAAGCTGTCTTCTCAGATGCCCAAGAAGAAATTCTACAGGAAGGAGTAGAACCATTAATAGTTGCTGGGACAATCACCCGTCAGACCTGTGACAACTTGCTGAAGTCTTACTTATATAATTTGGAGCTCTTCAGATTTCAAGGAATGACTTGACTCTTTAGCCCAACTTGGCTCTTCAGCCAAGGAACGACTTGACTCTTCAACCAAGGAATGACTTGGAAAAAATGATCTGGCTCTTTAGCCAAGGAACAATCTGGCTTTTCAGCCTAACCTGGCTCGTCAGCCAAAGAACGACTTGGCTCTTCAGCTAAGGAACGATTTGGCTCTTCAGCCTGACTTGGCTCCTCAGCTGAGGAATAATTTGGTTCTTCAGCCCAACCTGGTTCCTCAGCATAGGAACGACTTGGCTCTTCAGCCTGACCTGGCTCCTCAACTATGGAATGATCTGGAACGAACGACCTAGCTTTTCAGGCGAGGAACGATCTGACTCTTTAGCCATGGAATGACATGGAAGCCCGACATGGCTCCTCAGCCTAGAAATGACTTGAAATGAACGACCTGGCTCTTCAACCAAGGCATGATTTGACTTTTTAGCTAAGAAATGACCTGGAGGGGGTGACCTAGCTTTTCAACTAAGAAACGAACTAACTCTTCAGCCAATGAATAATTTGGAAGGAACAGTCTGGCCCTTCAGCCAAGGATGATCTGAAAGGAAAGATCTGGCTCTTCAGTCCGACCTAGTTCCTCAACCAAGGAACGACTTGACTCTACAGCCCGACCTGGCTCTTTAGCCAAGAAATGATCTGGAGAGAATGACCTGACTCTTTAGCCGAGGAACAACCTGACTCTTTAGCCATAGAATGACATGGAAGCCCGACCTCGTTCCTCAGCCAAGGAATAACCTGAAAGGAATGAGCAGGCTCTTCAGCCAAGGTATGATTTGACTCTTCAGCTAAGGATTAACCTAGAAGGAATGACCTGGCTCTTCAGCTAAGGTATGACATGCATCTTTACTCGAAGTATGGCCTAATTCTTCAGCTAAGATATTGCATCGCTCATCAATCGCTGCAAGACCTGACCCTTCAGCCCAAGTTCTTTAGTATAAAGAGCTCTTAAATCTCAACATTGTCAAGATCATCAGCCTTAGCCTCGAGTTTTTTAACTTCAACATGATCAGGCTATTCAATTTTAGCATTGTTAGGCTTATTAGCTATATTGTTCACGTTCAATCAAGCTTGACATTAGTATCTTGGACTTACTCGACTGACAATAAGCCCAAGACTCACTCAAAAGCACAAAGTTTGGACTGCTCAGCCACAACAATTGAACTCGGGTTGGTCAACCCATCATAAACTCCTTAGGAGACTCCTCAGCTCTAAAGCTAGTCAGCTCGGCTTGGCTCCTCAACCTAAAAGAAGAAGTTAGCTCAACCTGTCTAAGTCCAAAATAGAACAAGGTTTTCAAAACTCTTAGAGCTTCTTCAACAAACCCCTCAAACTATTGAGCATCCTTGATTTGAATTGAAAAATGCTCAGCCCCAACCAATGGACGGCTCAAGTTAGTCCTTGCTCGGGGCAGGGGGCAACTGATGATACGGAAAAATATACAAGGGGTAGTGGGATTCTAGAAGACAACAAGCAATAAAGAAACTACTAGAAGGGGCATAAAAGGGTTTTCACCATCAAACCATAAATTAGGTAATAAGTCACACCAAATATTCTCCTAATATTTTGTTATAAAAGACAATGATCACTATGTAAAAAGGGGTCTGAAGTAAGGAAAAATCCTTATTGTAATCTTCTTCTTCAAGAAAACAATATACAATAGAGGAGTAAGAACCTCCATTACAGTGGATTAGCCAAGTTTTTCAACCGATATACCACTTATTTTCTCGTGTATTCTCATTCAGTTTTACACACACACGACACACCCACCAAGAGCTCATCCAGCTCTCCACCTCATGCCTCTCGATTTTTTACCACCATCAACATATATACAAAGATATATTCAGGATCATTAGATAGCATTTTTCTTAATCTTTTTGTTTTTTTAGTTTCTTTTTTCAAAAAAATGTTTGCTTTTTTCATTTATATACGAAGATACATGTAGATCACTTTGTTAGATAGTAAATTAAACCTATTTTTATTTATTTTTAACAAAATTACATTTATGTTTAAAATGTTTCTTTAAAAAAGAGTTACTAAATGAAACAGGAATCAACATGCTCCAGCCATGCAAGGACAATATCAAAGAGGGATTGGTTGCCAACATTGATGAAGCTGTGCCAGATGTTGCGGTACAGAATGAAGGATCGCTCTCTCTGATCACATCGGAGAATTTTCCGGTGTTCAGACAGGACGGACTCAGTGCAAGTCTTGCAAAATTGGATGCTAATGCCATGTTGGCTCCATGTACACAACAGGTTCATCAGTTTAAATGGTTTATGTCAGTAGTGGCAGTGGAAGGGTTCAAATGGTAGGGTTTAATGGACAGAATGTTTTAGACACCAAAGTGCAGGCGTGGAAGCTTTTTGTTGTGCCCAAATTCTTCACTGTTTCAGTAAGTGCAAAAGGAGAAGGAATGGAGTGTTTCTCTATGCTAACATCTTCAAAGTAAGTACCATTTTAATTATGTATTATAGCACTATAGTTTAGTAGTTAACGTCTATGAAAAACCTAAGTTTTCAAAACTATTTAAAAAACCATCTAGTGTAACTAGAACGGGAAACACTCTAAGATTAGCATTTCTAGTTTCAAATTCAAGTACAACTATTGGATAAATTACACTTACACCACGTGAGCTATTACCCTTTTTCCACTTTGTCCCCTCAATTATCAAATTTCTCACATTACATTCTTAACTATGTGATTACTTTCGCATTGCCACAATTATTAACATCCATTACATATTTAATAGAAAATTATTTTATTTTGCCCTCCAAACTATATATTTTTTTTCACTACTCCAATGCGTCAATGATTTCTCTCCAAAAAGATAGCAAATATTTGTGATTAGGGCAATGTGAAATAAAAATATTAATTGAGGGTGCAATGTAAGAAATCTAGTATTTAAGGGGGTAAAGTAAAAAAAGAGTGATAGTTCAGGGGTGTGTAAGTATAATTTACCCACAACTATTTGTTGCCCAATGTGTGTGGCTCGGCAAGTACTTAATTTTAAGGAGATATAGTTGTGAGAAGATTATTCATTAGGAAAATAAATTTATGTAATACAGTTGCGTAAGTGGCACTTTGTCGCTAAAGGACTTTAAAATGTCCACTTTAGTCTCACAGATTAAAAGACTCAAATCGTACTTCAATTTTTTTTTTAAAAATACTACATAATTCAAATAAAATATAAAAATTAAATTTTAAATACATATAATCCATTGGATGAGTTTGGGATGAGTGAGCTCCACTGAAAATATTAATAGGACACACTCATCCAATAGATTATATACATTTAGGTTGTAATTTTTAAGTTTTTTTTGGATTTTGTAGTATTGTTCTTTTTTTCAAATTATAACTACATTACCATTTTCATCCTTTCTATTCGCAAATATATTTCCCAAATTGGGACAAAAAGGGCCAAATGGCTGCCACTTTTAAATGTTCAAGATGTAATTATGGTGACATCTTAGATTTTTGAAGAGGCAAAGTGAAAATTTGAAAAAAAAAATGTTATCTGGACTTAAAATGCTGACTTGATCAATCATTGTTATTGATTTAACCGTATGTCTCAATATTTATTAAAACTCACTTTCTATAAAATCATACTTATTAAATGTAAAGATGTTTATTATTATTTTTTTCAATTCTTTTGTAGACCTTTATTTGGCCAATTAGCTGGGAAAACATCAGTATTCTCTATATATGTGTCGTGTTTGTCAAATTTTTTGTCAACTTATTGTTTTAACAAGCTTACCTTTTTATCACTCAAGTCTACTATGACCAAAGGTGAACTTGCTAATTTTGTATCAATCTTATATCATATTAGTGTCTACAATTGTAGACCTACTTATGTTTCATGCTAAAATACAAGAGTATTTGCGTCAAGAAAGACAAAAGAGGTGTTGGATGGACGTCTGAGTCTTATTTATAGTGAATTTGTGGCAGGAAAGAGGTGTTGAATGTGCATACAAATCTCCTTTAGGTTGTCCATGGTTAGCTCAAACCCACCCAATGAAACCTGAGTATGGCCCAAGATGTGCCACACTCTTTCGACTCGTGGTTAGGTTTTGGGCAAAAGATTAGTCCGCACTATTTTGGAATTGGACTAAATTATACTTTGACCTCTTAAACTATAGACTTAATTTCACTTTGCTCTTTAAACTATTGAATTTTTTGCATTACTCCCTCAACTACTCAAATTATTTTTCATTGACCCAATTGCAAATCGTCTGTTATCTTTTTGGACAAAAATTGCTAACGTGCTAGGGAAAATTGAAAAAAATAATATATTTTAGGGGGCCAAAATAAAACAACTTGAATTTAAATATATAACAGACGTTAACAATTAGGGCAATATGAAACTAATCACAATCAATAGTACAATATAAAAATATGATAGTTGAAGAGATAATATAAAAAAGGGTCATAGTTGAGAGGGTCAAAGTATAATTTGCACATACTTTTCCTAGTTATTATGGTGCCGATGGCATGGAGTATATTGGTCAAAAACTCTATAAAGTGAAAAAATAATATTAAAATTTTAATTATTTTAATTATTTTCATATGTTTGTTTAGAAATTTTCAAATATAAAATAGAAAGAAATAGGAATTAAAAAAATAAACAATTGGCTTGGGCAAGAACCAAGAAGAATGCCATCATATATTGGTCTAGGATCCGAATTGGCTTGACCCAAGCCTTAAACCGGGCGGTTTTCTAGTCCAACCTTAGCCAGTCACAGATGTACTTTGGGGTTGGTGCCTTTGCCTTCATCGATGCAGACTTTTGTTTAGAAATAGATATTGCACGTAACTTATTTTTAATAATAATTTTGATTTTATATTTATAATGTTAGTATATAGGTTAATTTGTTTGAAACTGAAATATTATAAGAAATTGTGTCAAATATGGTTTTTATAATTTATGAGTCATATTTTATAGTTTAATTGTAAATACAATAAAATATATTAACTATGTACGGACACATACCTATCATACTCTTTCAAATTTTAAATATAATAAATGATTGAATCAAATTGGTCTACTCTAATTGACAACCTTCAATCTATAAAGTCTATACCAATTAAGAGATCAAATAGTCAATTCTTACCAAATGCAAGACTTATGGAGTGTTTGTTTCGTGTTCTTGTTTTGTGTTTTGTGTTTTTATTTTTATTTTTTGAGCACAACAAAAATAAAAATAATATATATTTGGATTTGTGTTTTTGTTTTATATAAAATAAGTTGTTTCGAAAACAAGGCCAAAATCAAGGAACAAAAAAAAAAATGATGTTTTTGGAAACAAGGCACAACAGAAAACACGTCCTCCTTAATAGCGTTAATGAGATTCGGGTTTTGAACTACTTTAGCAGTAAAAATAGTTTTTTTTCGTGGAACTATTTAAACTTATTTTATTTTTCTCTCCTCTCCTTCGCTTCCTCACAGTTGGTGAGAGAGGAGAGGAGATGGATGCTCCCCGTCGGTGACGCTGAGAGAGACAATCTCTGTGTAAATATCTGCTCTGTGTGCTGTTTCTGCTCTGTGTGTTGTATTTTGTGTGCTTTGGGGGGGTGTGTGTGTGTGTGTTCTGTGTGTGTGTGTTGTGTGTTGTTTTTGTGATTAAATTGGGATTGGGTTTGAATTTTCATTTAAGATTGAATTGGGAATTGGATTGAATTTCCATTTGAGATTGAATTGGGAGTGAGATTGAATTGACATTTGAGATTGAATTGCCATTTGGTGCTTAGGAATTCAGAAGGGCATCTAGTTCTCGCTGCTGCTGTTTTTTATGGTGAGGGTTCGAATATGAGGGCAGAATGTTTGGCCTTACTTGATGGGTTGAAAATGGTGTTGCATTATGGGCTGGGTGATTATTGTTTTGCCATTGAGTCTGACTCTCAGACATTGGTTCACGTGGTAATCGGAAAGGTTGAAGTGTCGTGGAAATGTAAGGCCACTTTGGGGCAGATCTGGGGCATGATTTCTTGTTTTTAACTGATTTTTTAGCGTCGTATGCAGTCAGGACGAGGTCATCTACTGATTTTACTGATACTGTTCTGCCTTTTGATGGGAAGATGTTGCTGCATCAGGACCAATGCATGTTACCGGTGTTAAGGGCGAAGAAATCCCTGATTCCTGGAGGGGTAAGCCTGCCCTTGATGGGTTGAAGATGTTTTTGAGATACAGCTTGGAGGTGTACGTCGCCTTAGTTTTTTATGTCGCCAATTTGAGTGCTCTTTCGGATTTTTTTTAACTCTTTTTAAATATTTTTTTCTTTTATATAGATGCATTGTGATAAAATTATAATCATGATTTACCAATGCATACTTCGGGTGGATACACATTTTTATTTGTCAATAATATTTTTTAATGTGAAATTATCACTTGACACATTGTTACACATGTGCATTGCATGTGAATAATTTTAATTTATAGTGGTAATGTTATTTTTGTCATTATGTTGAAACAATTAAATAAATATACACCTAAGAATCAAAGTATATGCCCTTTGATAACTTGTTGTCCGGATATGTTATATGTTGTTATGTGTTCTAAACACCATAATCTTCAAAGAAGTTAGACTACATGCTAAATTGATTATTTAAAGACTGATTAGTCGCCCCATGAATATTGGAAGATTGATTGAGACTATATGTCTATGTGTGACAAATTTACTATACTTTATCGATAATAGACTCAATCCCTTCTCCTGATGTATTTGCCTATTCTTAGAGGCATGGATAGAACCACTACTTGACCAAAAAGGGGACATAGCCTTACCTCAATTTTTTT